GTGTGTGTGTGTGTGTGTGTGTGTGTGTGTGTGTGTGTGTGTGTGTCTGGGGTGGGGGACTGTCTGGACACCCAGGGGGAGGGGCAAGGAGGGCACCAGGACCCACAGCCAACTATTTCCCAAAGGGAAAGCTGGGCCTTGCCATCCTCCTGCCCCAAATCCAAAAGATACTGGCCTCTGAGCCCCAGTGAACTTGGTTATCCTTCTGGGCTGCCCAACCCCCATCCTGTGGGGGGTGGTGAGGAGAGAGGGAAGAGAGGCAGAATTCTCTCGAGAAATTAGGAGGGGCAGGGGTGGGTAGAAAGACCCCTGTTTTGGGAGTTGGGTGCCTGGTTTCCAGTCCTGGCTCTAACTCTGACCGTGATGACTTAATTGGTGACGATGACCATTGCATCACCTGCTGAGACTGAGCCCCATCTGCACTGAGAATTTAAAGTGCATTCCCTCAACATCAAGAACCAAGGACTAGGATTATCCCCCATTTGCTAAAGAGGAAACGGATTCAGAGGGGCTGTCTTCCCTTGCCAGAGTCCTACAGCTGGGAGCCACCAAAGGAGATCTGAACCCAGATCTGACTCCATGGTCATGCTTGTGCCACAGGAAGCCCCCAGATCAGGAAGCGGGTTGGGAGTCGGTGTGGGGATGAGGACTGTGAGGGGACTAGCTTCCATGACCTCCAGCTTGGATCTCCTCTCCTAGCTTCCCTGGGGTGGGGAGGACAAGCACAGCGGCCCCAGGTGACCCCCGTCTCGCTTGGTCCCCCGGGTCCAGGCACGTCGGTGATGCAGGTGATGGCCTCGGATGCGGATGACCCCACGTACGGCAGCAGCGCTCGGCTGGTGTACAGCGTGCTGGATGGCGAGCACCACTTCACCGTGGACCCCAAGACCGGTAAGGGGCGGGGCCGGGCCAGAGGGGCGGGGCCTGTGCAAGACCGAGGAGGGACACGGAGGGGCGGGGCTAGAGGGCGGGAGCACTTCCACTAGCAGCCTTCTAACCAGACATCGCTGAGGGTAGGACGGGACCGGAAGCGGCGTCTGTCGTGTTCCAGGATCTCAGAGAGGAAAGGACGGCCAGGCAGAAAGAGACAAGGGCTGAGGAACAGAAAAAGATGGGGCTTGAGGGCGGCGGGGTGGGGGGGGTGAGGAGCGCCGGCCATACTGGCAGAGAAACAAAAAGGCAGGATGCCTCCACCATGCCAACATGGGCGCCCTGAAGGGGACTTCAGAGGTCCCACGTAAGCGACCCTCTTGTCCTTGGAGCTTAACTGAAGCAAGCGTGTCTGCAGCCCTTAGGGGTCAGCAGGTGAAGGGCACCTTTTCAGCAGTTGTGAAAGCTCTGTTCAAAGGGCAGTTGTTAAGGGTCTGATGGAAAGAGATAGAGACAGGGGAGAATGGCTTGTTGGCTTCTTTTCCCTCCCGCAACACCACCGAACACAGTCCTCACTTCACTTTCTCTGAGGTTAGAGCCTGATTACGTCTCTGAGGGGCCCTGCCAGAGTGGCAGGGAGGGCAGAGCAGGACATGAGGCTCAGAGAAGTGAAGTGCCTCACAGAGGTTGCACAGCGGGGCGTGGCTGCCGATGCCAAGGAAGGTGTTCTCCCTGTCCCTGAGATGGGAGGGGCAGGCCAGGAGTGAGGCCTCATGGGAGACCGCACACCACACAATGTTTATCAGATGCCGTCCTGGGGCTCACAGTCCATTGGGGGCAGGGGCGACAGGCACATGCATGGGCCATCGGGATGCAAAGTTCTGGGAGGTGGAAGGAGCTGATCTCCAAAGGATAAGAAGGTGTTGGCCAGACCCAGATGGGGATTCAGAGACAGGCATTCCAGGCAGAGGGCATGGTGCTGGCAAAACTAGGAGGGAAGAACACCCTGAGGCATGAGGGGAATTGTAAGCAACTCAGGACTGGGAAAAGCAGGAGGCCTGAAATGGGATCAGGGCTGGCTGGTAGGGGCCCAACTGGGCCCAGGAGAAGTGAGGCTTAAGACCTTGAATTTTATTCTAAGGGTAATGGGGGAATTTTTTTCCAAGGGTAATGGGGGTAAAAGGTAGTTCTAAGGATTATTCTAAAGGTAATGGTGTGTGTGTGTGGTGGATCTGTGTTTTGGGTTTTTGTTTGTGTATTTGATTTTTTGGGGTGGGGGATTGAGGATTCCAGATTATAAGCACAGTTATAATTGTACTATCTTACACAAATATCTTTGTCATTTTTTTCTCCTTGCAAAAGTAATATATTTTGGAAATTCAAACATTAAATGTTAAAAGAGGGAGAGAAAGAAAAAAAAGGAAGATGCTTCCCACCCTCATCCCCTAATTACAGCCCCAGAGGTAGCCACTTGATATATATATCCTATGAGATCTTGGACTCGTTCACTTAAAAAAATATTAAGTTTTTAAAAATAAATAACATATTTCAAGGTTCGAAATTTAAAAAGTAATCCAAACAGATATTTAGTGGAAATTCTTCACCCCTTCCAGTCCCCCAGCCACCCAGTTTGGGTCCCCAAGGCAACCAATGTAATTTTCTTGCGTATCCTTCCAGAGCTATTCTATGCATGTACAAGAAAATAGGTACATGTATTTGTTTTATTTTTTTTTACACAAATGGTAGCTATAAACACACACTATATACACTGCTTGCCTTTTTCACTTTACAATACATCTTGAAGATTATTCTATATCAGTACATAAAGAGCTTCCTCATTCTTTTATTTAACAGCTGTTGTGGATACACTAAAATTTATTTCACCGGTCCTCTATTGATGGACACTTACGCTGTTTCCAATCTTTTGCTACAACAAGCAATGCTACAGTGAATAACCTCATACATATATCATTTTGTGCTTGTGTGAGTGTATCTGCAGGATAATTTTCAGGAAGAGGAAAAGCTGGGTCAAAGAGCACATGCATTTGGAATCCGGATAGATAATGCCGAAATGTACCAGATTACACTCCTGAGAGCCACATAGGAAGGCGCCTGTTCCCCTCTCCTCACCAACATTTTGGGTTCATTGATGACTTTTAGGCAAGGAAGTGACATGCTCAGGTTTTCATTTTAACAAGATCCCTCGGGCTGCTCTCTTTAGCATGGCTCAGAGACAGGAATTGAATTCAGGGAGACTCAGTAGCCTAGGGTGCCCAGCAGAGAGCCCCAAATGACAAACACCAAGGTCTGCGCCCTTCCCCGACCCCCACCCAGACTCCTGAACCTGCTCCATCTAGTTAGGGAGCCAGAGATGACACAGGATTGGTGGCGAGGGTTAGCTGAGATGCTGAGGAGGGAGAATGAGAGATGACAGTGAGATCCTACCAAGGGCAAACCTTGGGGGTAGGGAACTGAACTGAGGGAAGAGTCTGGGGGTTACCAGCTTTGGGGCCTGGGATGGGAAGGGGCACCATCCACAGAAACAGAAGGAGGAGTGTCGATTAAGAAAACTAGGACCAAAAGAATTAGTGAATGTGCCCTGGGATCTGGTGCAGAGCTAATTCATTCCATTTTAACCAAAATGCCTTTAAGAGGAGAGAGGAGAAGGAAAGAAACATCTAGAACATCTAGCAGGCTGTCTGAAATATGGGCCTGGAGCTCTCTTCATAGCAGGGGCTCCTTAAACTTTGGTTTCCCACGTGCACAAGAAGGATAATAATTCCCATCACAAGTGACTATTGTGAGGATCCAACAAGAGAGTTCCTTCCTTCATTCAACAACTCTTCAGCCAGTGCCTCCTACATACCTGGCTCTGTTCTAGGCTCTAAGCATATGGCAGGAAGCAAATCCCTACCCTCACGGAGATTTAATTCAAGTAGGGAATACAGAAATGCAGAAAATAAGCCTATCCAGGTATAACATAACATCTTAGCAACAAGTGCAAGGAAGACACAGAAAGCAGGATAAAGGGGTAGACCTCGAAGAAGAAATCAGGACGGGCCTTTCTAGGGAGGTGATCTTGGACAGAGACGTGAATGAAGGGAGGGTATGAGCCCCCTTGGTATCCCGGAAGGAACGTGCAGGCCAAGGGAACAGCGAGGGTACAAAGTGCCCGGCGCAATCCTTGGTACCTCCTGGCAAGCCAAGGGGCTGCTGTTGCCTGTTGCTACTGACGCCTTCATTCGTTCAGCCGGAGGAGGGGGCCCTTCGAGTTGATTCCCCTTCCAGAAAGGGAGGAAGAGACAGAAATAAGGGAGGGGCCAGGACTGAGTCTGGGAGATGGCAGGGGTGAGCAGATGGGGGACCAGACTTCAAGTGAGTGAAGAGGACGGCTGGGTTCTCAGAAAAAGCATCCCCCGCTGCAAGGAGGCAGGAAGAGGGTGGCACGTGGGAGGCCTCAGAGAGCCCAGGAGGGCAGGAACCGTTCTCAGGAGGCCAGAGAATGGGCACCAGACAAGGCAGGTGAAGCAGTGCAGATGAGGTCCTTGTCCTAGGGTCCTCACTTTCTCAGTCTGAGAGGGTCTTTGCTGACACCTTCCAGGAAGGACCAGATTTTTCCTCCCCTTGGCTTCAGCCCCACTGCAGGAGCCGCCCTGGTGCCATTCCCAGCCCCAGCTCCATTTCCCCAGCCAGGAATATTCCGCTGATGCGGGTCTATATTTAGCAGCTGCTGCGAGGTACAGTCTGTTCTCGCTGTGCAGATAGCAGGGAGCAGAGCCGGAACGGGCCCTGAGATGAAGGTGTGAGGGAGAGGAGGAGGCGGGGCTCCGTGGGGCCGAGTGCCAGAGGAGGAATTAACTTGTGTGTTTTAAAGGCCAGGCCTGCCAGCAAGCCCCCACAGGGGCGACAGGGATGGCATTTGCGGGCTAATGAGGCATCACTTGGGCTCCAGGGCCCCTTCTGCAGAATCTGGAAGGGACAGCAGGGGTGGCAAGGATAATAGCTGGAACTGAGGGTGATGGGTGAGGACAAGGCTGCGGGGAGCCCTGGCCAGGTTCTGACTTTCAGCCCCCGCCCACCTCCACTCCCGCAGGACTAGAAAGGCGCGCTCAGAGACTCCAAGTTATCTGCTGAGAATTCTCAACTGGGCTAGAGATGTCTGTTTTCCTGGGATGAATGAAACAAACCCTTGCTGAGCACCTTCTAAGTCCCAGATCCTGGGGTCAGGATGATAACCAGATCTGGTTTCTGCCCCCGCGGGGCTTTTGTTCCAACAGAGAAGCCAGAAACAAACGACACCCAGCCTGTGAGAGGGGAGACAGAGGGTCTGTGGCAGTAGGTCAGGCAGTCCAAGTGTTTACTGAACACCTACAACGTGCCAGACCCTCTAGGTAAGATGATGAACAAGGCCAGTAGGATCGGGTACCCGATCCAGGACTTGGGGAGGGAGGGAGCATCATGGCATCCCCAGAACGTGAGACCTGCCGCTGGAAACCTTGTCTCATTTAGTTCCCTTAAAAGCCTTCCAACTGGGTAGCCCCATTTTATAGAATAGGAAACGGAGGCTCAGACGCACTCAAGAACTTGCCCAAGGTCAGATAGCATGTACGTGGTGGAAAGAAGAACCTAAACCAGTCAGTCTGACCCCCAAATCCCTCCTTTCTGCAGCCTCAAATCTGACTCCGTGCCCCTACTCACAGTACCTCCTCAGTAAGCGTCTGATAGGTGAGTGAATGAAGCAATTTGCAGGGCCAGAGCTTCCAAGAACAATTGCAGGGGCCGATGTGAGAATTTTACCCCAGAGCCAGGAGAAAGGCACCAGCCCCCAGGGTGCTCCTCCCTGCATCAGGAAGTGGAGTGGGGACAGAACGCAGCAGATAACAGAAGATAACATCGATCCCTCCCACCCCGCTAGGTAAAGTGACTTTGCCACGGTTTCTATCAAGAGGTGGAGTCTAGATGGGTGTCTGGCTGGCTGAGTTGATCGAGATTGGACTCTATCTCTCAATGTCATGAGTTCAAACCTTATGCTGGGCATGGAGCTTACTTAAAGAGAGAGAAGTGGAGTCTTGAATCTGGAGCAAAAATTATGTTCTGCCAAGTCCCAGGTTAGGCCTTAAGAGGCCTTGCAATCCTCACTCTTCTTTCCCAAGACCACCATCTAAGGAAACACGCCCAGCCTGCTGAAGACCGGACACGCTCCCCCTCACAGCCGGGACCACCGGCCAGACCTATGCGCCAGGCCCCTCTGGGCCTCTGGCCAGAGGAGCCTCTAGGGAAATGTGGCTGCATGAGCGAGCCCAGGAGAGGGACAGTCCGGAGAACATGATTTCTCCATCAGATATCTACTGCTCTTTGACAAACTGCCCCCGAACACGGCGACTTAACACAGCAACAGTTTTTTCTTGTCATAATCCTGTGGGTTGGCCGCACAGTTCTTTTTGCCAGGGTCACTCATGGGGCGACAGTCAGCTGGCAGGTCTGCTAGGACGGCCAGTGTGGCTGGGCCCCTCCCTCCGTGTGGCCGTCCGCCTGGGGCTTTTTCTCAGCACATGTGGTCTCGAGGCTCCAAGAGGACAGGCCCCAGCACACAAGGGCTTATCAAGCCTCTGCTTCTTGTCCTGCTCGCTGATGTCCCATTGGCCATAGCAAGTTTGCAGGGCCAAGGCCTGAATCAGTATGAGAGGGGGTGACCCAAGAGTGTGCCTAACCGCAGGTGTGCTCTATTGGGAGCTGTCGTCATCCCAGGCTGTCACTGGGTGTGATCCCAGGGCCGGGTCCAGAGGCAGCAGGGCCCCCAGGTACCCACCTCCTAGTCTCCCAGCAATGGCCCCTGATCGTCTACAAGTCTTCATGGCTAGTTGCCAAGTGAAAAGAGGTTGGTGGCCCTACTTCCTCCAGAGCTAGAAGTGGCAGTGACAGCAAGGAGGCAGCCCCATGAGCAGGGTTCCTCCCCCACAGGGGTGGACCTCAGCCAGAGCCCTGCTCCAAGCCCCATTCACCAGCTTCTGGTGCACAGGCTCACAGACGCACGGTGGCCCCAAATCCCAGCACCGCCTCTACAGTCCGTGAGGTCCTGGAGGCCAAGGACATGTGCAAAGCTTAGGGATGCAGGAGGGGCTCCACTGGTTGGCTCCCTCCCAGCCCTTCTGACTGGTTCACTCAGGGAGCCCCCATCTCTGGCCCAGTGCCCGCTCCACCATCAGTGGGCCTGTCTGCCCTCTCCTTTTCTCCCTCCACCGTCTTTCTTCCCTCTTTCCTGACTCTGGGCCTCCCTGCTGTCTTCGAGAAGGGCTGTTTACTCAGTCTCTATTGTTCCCTGCCTTCCTTTCTCCGCTTGGTTCTTTCTCTCAGTTCTTTCTCTCCCGGTTCATGGGTCTCCACGTCTCTGGAGCTCTGTTCCTCTCTCTCACCATCCCCTCCTGAGTACGCATTTCTCTCTGGCTTGACCACTCCCCTCTCTCCTTCTCTCTTTCCCGGCTCCTTAGGTCTCCCTTGCTCTCTGTCCCCACTCCAGGGCTGCAAAGCCTCAGCTGACAGACTAGCAGAGGCCTGGGCCCAGCCTCATCGCCAGAAGGGTGCCCCGTTCACAGTTAATGTTGGGGCAGCTCAAGGAGGGCCTGTTGTGCCCAGAACCAAGACTGGTGTGGAACACGCTGCTACTGGAAGCTGGCGGGTAGCGTAATTCCGCCTGAAACTCCCATAGTGCTGGGGTTGATCATTCCTGGTCTGTATGGAGGCACTGCAGTTGTCCCATTTTCCAGAGAAGGAAACTGAGGTTCAGAAGAAGGGACTTGCTCAAGATCACATGGCCAAAAAAAGGGTAGAGCTGGGATTTATCCCAAGTTCATGGGCTTCCAAGACTCCTCCATCCTTGCGAAGGTCACCCTCAGGAAAGGAAGGGTCAGCGGGGAGCCCGTAGAGGGGTCTCAGAGGCCACCGATGGAGAGTCTGTGCGACTCTTCGTTAGACAAACTACACATTTTCCATATCTCCATGTGATCCCACAAAAGCAGGGCCACTTCCTAGATACCCTGCCTCCAGCCCCCCCAGCTACACATACAGATACACACATACACGCACACACTGCAGCCTCTCCCCTCATTCTAGCGCCTCTATTGGAGTCTGGGGGCTGTTTGGAGACATCAGGAGTCGGAGATTGGGTTTTATGGGGCGCATCATGGGGCTGCTGGTGCATGACTCCACCTGGCGTGCCAGCCCCGGGCACCACCTGTCACCACCTGGTACTCGGCAGGTTGGAGTGAGTGGCGGGGGAGGCTCTGAATGCCTCATCGACTCGACTCTCCCCTCCACCTCGATCTCCCACTGGCAGGGAGACAAGAAGCTCGGCCTTCCGCTCAGCAGATTTAATCTTGCGGTCACCCCCCTCCCCCCGTTCCTGCTGCCCCTGCCCCTCTTGCATCAACAGCTTGAAGGGCTGTCTGATCAGTGATTAGCTAGTGCCTGGACAGAGAATCTAGGGCTGGGCCAGGGCCTGGGGACCCCAAGGGCTGGGGGCCGACTCCAACATGGAGAAGGGAGTGTGAAAGTAAGTGTGCACTCAGCTGTGAGCGTGCGCACGTGTGTGAGTTCATGTGTGTTCTTATTTATGTACTATATAAGTGTGCAAGCCATACCTAGTGTATGCATACAGGTGAGTGTGACTCCAGAGCGAGTGTGCATGAGTGTGGGTGTGCGTCTCGTTCACCATGTTAACACTCAAAGCCAAGATGCTGCTCCATGCCTGGCTCTGCTGAGAGCCACTGACAGAGAGAGGAAAGAGCGGATCTCTCTGAGCAGGTATGAGTGTGCACCAGCGTGCGTGAGTGTGCGTCAGTGTGCGTGAGCGTGCATGGGGCTGCTAAGCCTGCATCCGCATCGTCCCCACACCCATGTCTTTGACGTTCCCCTCTGAACTTGCCCGAGGCCCGCCTCTGCTTGCGGAGGGGCCGTGTGTCTGCTGGCAGCCTCTCGGAGAGATCCCTGGCCTCACTCTCACTCACCCACAGGTGTGATCCGGACAGCTGTGCCCGACCTTGACCGTGAGAGCCAGGAGCGCTACGAAGTGGTCATCCAGGCCACAGACATGGCGGGCCAGCTGGGCGGCCTCTCTGGCTCCACGACCGTCACCATCGTGGTCACCGATGTCAATGACAACCCACCCCGTTTCCCTCAGAGTAAGTGAGGCCTTCCCAGAAAGCGAGGGACACATCTGCGTCCATCTGGTAGACCCCCAGCTCCCCTTGCATCGGGCTTCCGTGGCGAGGGCACTGTGGGCGTCTGTTCATCCTTCCAGCCGCCCACCAAGCTCATGCTTCCCTTTAGGTGTCCACCGAAGAGGGACTTGAATCTGTCTATCCACCCAAGTCACCCATTTCCCTCCAGTGCCCCTCCTATCATCCTTCTTGCAGAGGAAGTCCTCAAAGTTGTCTGGTTTTCCACACAGCCAAGTAACACGGTTACCAACCACCCTCACCTTGCTTCCTGCCACGGGGGAGCCCCCTGTTGTCCCACCTCCTCCAGCCCCTCACTGGGCCCGCACACACCCTACTCCTGCTTAGTCTATGTGACCTGCCCCTGACCCACGCTTGCAAAGGGAAGGGCTGGGGGCTGGGCAGGGGGTGGGGGGGGAGACACAGGGATGTAGACAGAGGCTGTGGCCAGACCCAGGCCAAGGCCCGCCCATGCTGCACAGAGAAGCTGGGTGGGGGTGGGGGCTGGAGTGACAGGTAGCCCCCCCCCCCCCGCCCCCGATTAGCCTGGAAGGCAGGATGCTGTGCTTCTGAATTAGGAGGTCTTTCCACTCTCAGCCTCTCCTGGAACGACAGGGGACTGGGGCTGGTTCTCTGGCTGAGTCCCCCACCTCCCGGTCAGCCAGCCCTTCTGCCCAGCCTTGGGCCCAGAGCCGCGCCGGGAAGCCGGGAAGCCGCCAAAGCTGGCAGAGACTAAATGCCGCAGGGAGCCGGGCTGATCCCTATCGGGGAGTCATTACTTGAGGTCTGCTGCTCTCACATTAGGCCCGCCACAGGGGACTGACCCCCAAGAGATAAGGGAATCCAATCCCTTAGCTGAGAGTGCACCGTCATCGGGGCCTAGCGCCTCTGCCGGGGCTCTGGGCGGGGTGGGCGGAACCGCCAGCCAGCTCTGTGTCACCAGGGAGCCGGGGGCAAAGCCGGCCCCTACCTCCACGTGGAGTGGGGAGCTTTGAGGCACCGCATGGAGGGGAGGGGCCCACCCGGGCTTCTGTCCAGTTGTGCGAGGCTCTGTGCCGGCTCTGAGGGGGAAGCAGTGGGGCAAAGCAGAGAAGAGGGACCCTGGCCCCGGGAAGATTCTTGTTTGTTCGTTCATTGATTCGTTCCCTCTTTATCTTTAACACTTCTTTATTGTGAAATACACACGCCAGCAGAAGGCTGGAGAGTAAAAATGTCCAGTTTGACAACTAATTATAAAGCGAACCCTCCTAGAGACCACACTCCTGGACCCCAGCAGCCTCCACGAGCCTTTCCTGAGCGCGACTGTCCCCCACACTCCCTCTTCCAGGGTTAACCATGATCCGCTATTGTGACCGCCGCCTCCTTGCCTTAGAGTCAGTTTACCTGCATCCGCATCACTGAGCCCTATAGCTTAATTTCACCTGGTTGTTTAACCTTAGATTAGCAGACTCATACCATATAACCTCTTTGTGTCTTGCTTTTTTTTTCTCTTAAAATTATGTTCATGAAATCATAGGTTGTTGCTCGTTGCTGTAATGCGTTCATCTTCATGGCTGCATGGTGTCCATCGTTTATCTGTTCTGTGTTGATAAACGGTTGGTTTGTTTCCGGTTTGAGGCTATGATGAAGGACACTGCTCTGAACGTTGCTGCACCTTGCGAACGTCTCCAAGTGCTGGTTTGCATGCATATCTCCGGTGTATATACACACTGGAACAGGATAGCCGGCTCGTGGGATATACTCAGCTTCAGCTTTACTAAACAAAAGCCCAGCTGTGCCCCTCCATGGAAAAAAATGCACGTGTCCATTGTAGCCCATCCTCACCAACACTTGCTATTGTCAGACTCTTTAATCTGTGTTAACCCAGTGAGCGTAGACCCATGGTCCTTTGCATTCATTCACTCCCTAGTCACTCACACATTTCATTTATGCGACAGTCTGGTGTTCTGCCAAGCTCGGAGAATGCCTGATGAATAAGAGATGTGGTTCCTGCCTTCCAGGAGCTCACACCAGGGACAGAGGAGACAGGAGAGAGCAGGGACAGAAGAAGCAGAAACTGATAGGGAAAGGCAGGAATCCTTAACAATGGGATAAGCTTGGTGGCCCTGGGGCACAAGACCGGAGCCTGGAGGTCAGTCTGAGAAGGCTCCCTGGTGGAGGGAATGTTCTGTGAGACTAAAGGAAGGGTAGAAATTGGGGAGGGCACAGCAGAAAGGAGAATAAAGAGAGAGAATGCCCAGAGATGAGGAATTATAAGCGCCTTAGGCAGGCTGCAGCTGGGGTCAGGGAGAGGGAGGCTGAGGCTGCAGACGTCAGCAGAGACCAGGCAGCAAGCATCCTGTAGGGCAGGCCAGAAGGCTGGAGGGCTCCATCGCAGAGCAGCAGGGAGCTATGGAAGGGAGTCTGGTCGGGGAGTGGCACAGTCCACGTGATTTGGAAAGAGCCCCTCTGGCTGCCATGTGAGAATGATTCAGAGGCCACTGCTCCACAGAAGGGGTATCCAGACCTTGGGGAATGCAAGAGGCACATCCTGAGCTCCACAGGCCCTGCGTCACCTGCACAGGCCCCTCACGGAGCAAATCACCCTCATCTCGACCTCAGCTCTGGGAGAGGCGGGTACCGTCTGTGTCCCATCTGACCTCATTCCCTCGCATTTCTGTCCTGCTTCTCCTCTCTAGCCACAATGGAAGTCTTGCCGTTCTTCAAACATACTGGGCATCGCACCCACCCCAGAGCCTTTGCACCTACTGTCCCTTCTGCCTGGAATGCTCTTTCCCACAAATCTGCTTGGCTTACTCTCTCACCTCCTTCAGGCTTTTGCAAAAATGTCATCCTTAATTACCCAATCTAAAACTGCACACACGCCCTCATCGGCTTTCCCCAGGCCCTTTCCCTTGCTTTATTTTTCTCCAAAGTACCTATCACCATTTGATACACTACATGTTTTACTGATGTGATTGTTTGTGTCTTTCTCTGCCTGGTAAGAGGAAAGCCCTGTGAGAACTGGGATTTGGGTCTGTTCTGCTTGTCGCTATGACCCCAGTGCCCAAACTGCACCTGGAACACCATAGATGCTTAATAAATACATGGGAAGGAAGAAATCAACATCACTAACATCAATAGCAGTAGGAAATTGGTGCGAAGCCCCACTCTTTTACCATAATTTGTTCCATTTATTGAGTAGCTACTATGAGCTAGGCACTGTACTAAGCACTTCCCACGCCTCTTCGTCTAAGTTAACTGGGATAATGACGGTGCCGCTAGGAAGGCACTATTCCCATTCTACAGATGAGGAAACCAAGGCTCAGGATTACACAGCCAGGACTGACTCCAGGGCCTGAGCCTTGATCACTTTGCTCCTCCGCACCCCTCCTGGGCACGCGGGGAAACCGAAGCCCCAAACATTGCAGGCATTTTTCTTATCAGTCAGCAAATCAGCCCAGGGTCAGAATTAGGACCCTCCTCTTGGCACTGCCCCCTTGGGAGCCCCTTCCAGACACTGCCCTCCCAGGAGCCCATCTGGGCCCCGCTCTCGTCTCCCCTAAAGGTGGTGGAAGTTGGGGGTAGGGACTGCCCCCCATCTCTGTTCACAAGCTGTGTCCCCTACAGAGATGTACCAGTTCAGCATTCAAGAGTCAGCCCCCATCGGCACAGCTGTGGGACGAGTGAAGGCTGAGGACTCAGATGTGGGTGAGAACACAGATATGACTTACCACCTCAAGGAAGAGAGCGGCAGCGGCGGCCAAGTGTTCAAGGTCACCACGGACAGCGACACTCAGGAGGCCATCATTGTAGTGCAGAAGGTGCGGCTTCCCCAGGAGGTGTGGGGGGGTGCGGTGTGCAGACTCAGGGTGGTGGGGTTAGGGAGGCCTTAGAGCTGCCACAGAGCTCTGATCTCTCTGGGGACCCAGGACCAACCTGGGGAAAACAGTGATGGTCTCAGTCTTATTTTACAAATGAGAAAATGAGGCACAAAGAAGATAAGTGGCACAGCTGGCTATGAGAGCCCGGATTCAAACCAGATTTGGATCCGTGCTCAGAATCACTGCATTGAGCTCCTTCAAGTTCATGCCCTTCATGCTCATTTCCTTTAATCCTCATGCTTCCCTCTGAAGAGACATCAGTCCTTAAGCCCATTTTTACAAGTGAGAAAACAGAGGTACAGAGAGGGAAAAGGGGTTGCCCAAGATCATACCTGTAAGGGGCAGAGTCAGGATTTGAACCCCAGTCTGGTGACTCCAAGCTCTTTCCTTCCTGAGTTCAACAGCCCTCCTCCCCTACTGACTAGCCCAGGAACCAAAAGCTAAAAGAACAAACTCAGGGCTTCTTAGGGGAAGGGGATGGAGATCAAATGAGAAGCAAAAATCCGTCTTCCAGGACTTGGTCGTGGGCTTGGCAACTCAGAGCCACACAGGCCTCTGAGACCATCACCCTAGCCTTGCTCTCCCACGAGAGGTCAATCCCCTGGGCTGGCCTGCAAATGCTGGTCGGCCTTTGTACACCTCCAGGCTGGGGTGCTCACTCCCTGCCACTGTCTGGCTATTTCTCCTCCCATTCAGCCAGGACCTGTCTCCATCAGCAGATCAGAATCTGTTCCCATCAGCCTGGGCCCTGCCTTCTGGGACCCACAGCAGCGTCTGCGCTCTACAGCCCTTCATTCACTCAAGAAGCACATAATGACCTGTTCTCTACCTGGCCTGGAGGGTTTGAAAAGAGCGAAGACTCCCAGTTTCTTCAGCTGCTCCCCAGAAGATTGAAATACAGTAGCTATTACTTATAGTAAAGTGTATCCGAGGTACCAGACGCCCTTCAACTGCTCGTCATGTATTAACTTAATCAATCCCTACCACAACCCTCCGAGGTACTATTATTGCCCATTTTATAGATGAGAAAATTGAGGCCATGGCAATTCAACAATTCACATCCAAGGGCATGCATCTCACAGAACACAGCAGAGCTACGAGCCCAGGCAGTCTGGCTCCAGAATCCACCCCTTTAAGTATCATGTGGCTTTCAGTCTTCTGAGTTCCATTTGTCCTCTGGAAGATGAGCCCATTTCCCAGATGGGGCTCAGCATCCCAGGGCAGCAGAGTCAGACCCCAAGCCCAGCCTCTGCATTTGCTCTTAATCCCCAGGCTGCCCATAACCACCACCACCACCACCACCACCACCCCTCCGTCCCAGGCACCACCCCCCAACACCCGGGCTCCAGCAGAGGCGCCAGAGGTGTCTTGGTGGAGGCGCAGAGCCCAAGCCTGATTGATGACCCGGCTCCAGAGCCCATCGCTCACTCACGCCCGGCTCTGGCCTGCCTCCCTGCATCCTGATTTCCCAGGCAACAAGGCGGAGGAAGGAAGAAGGAGGTGGCCGAGTTTTCTGCTGGAGAAGGTGGGGGCGGGAGGTTCTGAGAGCAAAGCGGGGGTCTCTAGGCACAGGGCAGGTCTCCAGGAAGGTCACCCTTGCCACCCAGATAGTTCCCCCCACGCAACAGAGGCGCCTGAGCCCCACCACTGCTATGTCCCTGGGTGTCGTCTTTAGAAGGCCGGAGCCAACACACAGCCTTGAAGCTCATTCATCAGAAGGTCACCCGTGAGCACTCCCTGATGAGAAGCAAGGCTCAGCACGGGTTTGGCCAGATTTCCAAGGAAAGCTCTCAGGCAGCCCGGCTTAACAGGTTCAACTCACATTCGTTGCTGCCGCCTGCGGACCTGGGCAATGTCTCCTTAACCCACAGAGCCGAGGCCCAGAGAGGCTAAACTGATTGCCCATAGATACACAGCGAGTCAGCAGCAGTGGGCTTTCCTTGCCTGGGGTTAAGGGCCAGGACTTGGGAGCAGCACTGGCTGGGTTTGAATCCTGCCTCTGCCTAACTGCTAAGTGACCTCGAGTTCCTCCGGTGCAAAAGGAGATAATCACAATGCAGGCCTCTTAGGGATGTTGTCAAATTAGATGAGTTAATGTATTTAAAGCACTGGCGCACACACTAAGTGTTCCGTGAATTAATAAATTCATGAAATGCCCCCAACATATTGTGCTTCCGGGGCGAGAAGTCAGATGTCAGATGTCAGGGTCCTTTACCCTGATGGGCTGTGTGACCCTTGGCAAGACTGTCCTCCGCAGTCTGGCTTCATCCACCTGCAACCAGGAAGGGCTGGTCTGGATCTCCTAACAGCGGATTTCCTGGTGCAGCCCACCACTCCCCGTGCCACACACACCCCCATGCTGAGTGATCGTGACCTTGGGCCGGCCCCGCCCCCTCTGGGCCCACCTCCCTGACGTTCTCTTTACCACAGCGCCTGCGGGAGGGACCCACTCACCAGCTTTCTGCTTCCTCCCGGCAGCGCCTGGACTTTGAGTCCCAGCCCGTGCACACCGTGGTCCTGGAGGCCCTCAACAAGTTCGTGGATCCCCGCTTCGCTGACCTGGGCACGTTCCGCGACCAGGCGATCGTGCGCGTGGCCGTGACCGACGTGGACGAGCCCCCCGAGTTCCGGCCGCCCTCCGGCCTCCTGGAGGTGCAGGAGGACGCGCAGGTGGGCTCCCTGGTCGGCGTGGTGACGGCGCGGGACCCCGACGCCGCCAACCGGCCCGTCCGGTGAGACCCCCGCCCGGGGCCACGCCTGCTGCCTGCTCTCCCGCCACCGCCCCGAGGACGGACTGCGGGCAGAGGGGGAGGGGCGGGGGGCGGAGAAGGGGGATATGGACGCAGAGATGCAGCTCAGAGACAAAGGAAACAGATGTGAGAATGATCACAGAGAGTCAGGGGACTGGGGGCAAGGAGGGAGACCCAGGTTTGGCAGACAGCGCAGAGTGAACCCGGCTCGCCCCCGGTCCTCCTCTCTGTCCACGGTGGCTCACTCCCTCGGTGCCCACGGCCTGTCCATCCACAAGTCTGTGACCCCCGATTCCACTCTCTTGCCCACCCTGCAGTCTCAACGGCTCCCCGTGGCTCCCTCAGGCACCCAAAACTCACCACGTTCGGAACCGAGCTCTAGGTCCCTCCACCAAAATCATCCACCCAGCCTTCCAGTCCTTGAAGTCAAAAATGTTGGAGACACCCTGCCTCCTGTCTCACACCTCCCTCCAGCCCATCAGCGGATCTGTCATCCACACTTTAGCTGCATATCCAGAATCCAACCACTTTCTCCACCTGCGCTGCTATCCCCTGGGCCAGGCCCCCATTTTCTCTTACCCAGATCCGGACCAGATCCCGCACTCCCCCAAAGCCGCCCCACTGGTCTCCCTGCTTCTGCCCTGCCCCTCTTTAATCTAGAACTGCCTCTGGGCTAGACTGATCCTGTCGAAATGGAAATCATTTCTGGGCCTTCCTCTGCCCAGAGCCCCCCAGAGGCACCCATCTGGCTCAGAATAAAAGACCAAGCTCTCACAATACCCCCCAGACCCGTGAGATCTGGCCTCCCTGTAGGCTTTCAGACCATTCCTCCCAAGGCCCCCCTTCCTAGTTCACACAGCTCAGCCACCCTGGCCTCCTCACTGCTCTGCAGGTGCACCAGGCTCACTCCACCTCAGGGCCTTTGCAACTGCTGATCCCTCTGCCTAGAACGTTCCCCCCCTTAATATCCCCACTATTGGTCTGCTCGCTTCCTCCAGGCCTTTGCTCAAGAGTCACCTTCTCAGGGATGCCTTTCCCGACCACTCTTCCTAAAATTTCAACCCCACCCCAACCCCCAGCCCCAACACTTCACATTCCCTTTCTGCATGTTTCTCCCTCCTCAGTAGCCTTCGTCATCGTCTAACATGCTACCTAGTTTTCTGGCTCCGTGTGTGTCTCTCCTGCTACAAGATAAGCTCCGTGAGGGTAGGGAGTTCTGCGTGCTCACCACTCTACCCTCAGGGCCAACCCGAGGCCTGCACTCAGTGGACACTTGCTGACTGCCCTGGTGAGAGAATGAAACATAAAAAGCAGAGAAAAACTGAGAAAAGAGAGAGACAGAGGCTCAGGAGCCTCGGGAGAGACCCACAGTAAGAGGAGGAGGTCAGATAGAGCGGGGAGCCGGTGGGAAGACCATGGGAGGAACTAAAAGAGACAGAGGACCTGCCTGACCATGTAGAAACAGATTTGCTGAGAAAGCCAGAAAGGGAAAGATAGGGAGAGACAGGGGCGAGCAGGGAGGGAGGCAGGTGGGTGGAGGGGAGGGGATGCTGCCGCTCTATCAGTGTTTCTGGAAGGGTTTAAGAAGTCTCTGACTGTGGCTCAAGTTGGAAGAAGGTCAGGTAGAAGAGACCGGAAGAACTGTTGTAGCAGAAATAATCCAGAGGAGGCCAGGATTGGGGGAGGGCCGTTTTTGGACAGACCAGAAGGAGATTCCCGAGCTCCCTGCTTCCTCCCTGAAACCCCTGTACAGAATCAGTAAGTAATCCCTCAACCAGCTATTTGCCAGTCTCTGTGTGGAGCATTGAAGAGAGGGAGAGGGGAAGCTAATTTGAGGATCTCTGCATTACATGGTTCCAGATGGGAAACATTCCCCTCATCATCTATGTGAATGGTTCTCTGGGTTGTGCAGTGCACAGCCTATGCCATCCTACATGGCAGCCCTGGGTGACGACAGAGAGATGCCATCCTGCCTAACTGCCTATGGGCTCCCAGATTGGGAAATACCCTCAGGGGTCTTAAAAGACTTCCTGGAGGAGGCAGGAAATGAACTGAGCTGGTATGGTCAGGTGTATGGTCAGGTGTAAATACGAGGTGAAGGGCATTCTAGGCAGAGGAACAGCTTGTGCGGACATATGGAGGCAGAGGTAGATGTGCCGGAGAAGAGCAGATCATGATGGCTACAGTGGACTGAGGGAGATGAGGCAGCGAAATTGAGGTCTGGCAGGCTTTAAGGGCAGGCTGAGGAGCTCAGACTCAGGCCAGAGGGCCAGAGGACCGGGGTTGCCTCTGTCTTCCTCACTGCCAAAACCGTCCTGCTTCCTCTGAGCTCCTCTGCTGCCCTTCCACTCAGGCTGTCCGTCGGTCTGTCGGCAACCCCCTAGCCTCCGGCTGGGCCACAAACCTCTCTCCCTCCAGGAAGGGATTATCACCCATGTGTGTGAGGAAACCGAGGCCCAGGGAGGGGAGGAGGCATTCCTGGGCTCCCCCCGGGGAGTTGAGAGCCAAGAGTAGGAGCTGAGTCCTCGCCTCCAGGTTAGTGCTCCTGTGTGCACTCCCCTCCCCTGCACTGTCGCTCTCACACCCCCTCTCTGTCTTCTCCCTCCTCCCTCCGCTGGTTTCCCTTCCCTCCAGCTTTTATCTGCACTGAAAGGGCCAACTTTGAAACCAGCTTCTCACCTTCTTTCATCTCTCTTTGCCTTCCCTGGGGCTCCTCAGACGGGGAGGCGGTGAGGAGCCTGAGACAGCTCCAATTTAACACCACAAACATTTACCCAACTCCTCCTCGCGTGCTGAGCCAGGCCCAGGGACGCAGGTGATGACTCAGCAGAGGGCAGAGCTGGGGATAAGTACCCTCTGTGCAGGGGACAGTGAGGGGCCATTGAGAGACTGAAGGGCACCTCCCAGGGTACATGTGGTACCCAGAGCCCAGATGGCCTCCTCAGCTCCTTAGTCCTCAGGGTCGTGGACTCAGTCAGTGCCTACACATTGAGTCAAGGGGGAACCAGTGGTAATAAGACCTTGTCCCTGCCCACAGAGAGTTTGCCTTCTCCCAGGGGTAGATAGTCATCGAGTCGTAAAACATTGGTTGACACCAGTCAGGAAATAATTGCTGTTAAGAGCCATGAAGGAGTTAAACAGGGCGATGTGATAAGGAGGATTGCGACGACAGGGGCTACTGTGGATGGAGCAGTCCAGGAGTTGGCAGGTGAGCTGAGATCAGAATGATTAAGTGAGAGCCAGCCTGCAAAGATGTGAGGAAGAGCATTCCAGGTGGAGGGAACAGCAAGTGCAAAGGTCCTGGGGCAGAGGCAGCTTGGTGTGTTCCTGGAGATGAAGACAGTAAGTGGTATCCTGGGAGATTTTACCTGGGCACCTGCGGAAAACAGAGATGCAGATATACAGAGCGGTTTTTCTGAGTTTCTGCACTGGGGAGAGTGGAAAGTACCTCATCTTGTTGCCTTTCCCCCTCAGGGGGTAACATACGCAGTTTACAGATGAAGAAATTGAGGGTCAGAGAGGAGAAGTGACTCTCCCAGTATCATTCAGCTTGAAGGGGCCAGGAGTGATTTAACCCATGATTATCTGCTTCCTGAGTTCAGCATCCTGGAATTTTACCCCAGCTTCTTACCCTCTCTGTGGTTAGGTGTCCTCCCTGGTGCATAAGGCACAGAGATGAATCAGACATAGGCCAACACAAAGGCTAGGTCCCCATGTGAAGGCCTCTAGTAACAGATCTAAGTTTGAGTGGTCTTGGGCTGAGGGCCGGGGCTTGAGGACTGCAGAGCTCCATGGAGGGGCGAGTGCTCAGGGCACAGGAACAAGCCCAGGCTTCCCCAGGTGGCCCCTGAGCAAGGCTGGAGAGGTGAGGTTGGCACAGGGAGACGATGTTCCTGGTTGGAGTGAGGGTGAGGGCCCGGAAGCAGGAAGAGAGTCGCAGATCCGGGAGGTTAAGTTCAGCAGCAGCATGATCAGCTGGGTGAGCTCATGTCAAGGTGGGCAGAGATGAGGACAGAGGGGCACTTGGGCCAGCCTGGGAAGGACTCTGAATGTCAGGTGGAGAAGCGGGACTCCATGCTTCAAAGGGAAACCTTGGAAGCTTTGGAGGGAGGGAGGAGAGTGCTCAGAGGGGCTCAGACAGGCCCATCTCAGGGTTAGGCAGCCGTGCAGAGAGTCAGGCCCTTGATCAGCCCAGCATAGTCCTCCCTACACCCTGGTGAGCCTTCTTCAAACATCAAAACCAGCAAAGCCCACACTGGACCAGAGGGAACAAACCCTCATTTCCTGCCAGCACTCCACAGTGGGGTGCATCAGAAAGTGTGGGGGTTCTGGAATCAAAGAAGACCTGGGTCGGAATCCCAGCTCAGTTGTAGAACTGTGGGAAGATCACTGGACCTACAATAAGCCTCTGTTTTCCCATCTCTATAATGGGCATCATGATAGTACCTGCCTCATTCATTTATTCAAAAATTAGGTATTTTTAAAATTTTATTTATTTATTTATTTATTTATTTGACAGAGCTCACGAGTAGGCAGAGAGGCAGGCAGAGAGAGAGGGGGAAACAGGCTCCCTGCTGAGCAGAGAGCCCAATTCGGGGCTCAATCCCAGGACCCTGAGATCATGACCTGAGCTGAAGGCAGAGGCTTTAACCCACTGAGCCACCCAGGCGCCCCCCAAAATTAGGTATTAAATGTCTACTGTGTTCTACTAGGATCTGCGCTCAGTGCCTTTGTGTTCCTTTGTGGCCTGGACACCCATTTCTACCCTTCAATCTGCAGCCTGTACTAATCACATACAAATTCCCCGGCATCGTGTTTGGGCTTTGATATGTGTCTTAAGGTTGGGGTGGGGGCAGTACGTGAGGAAGAATCACAGATGGGGTAGAGTCAGCAGAGAGGAATCCCCGGTGGGGGGACTGGGGGGACGGGGAGCCCCTTCTGCATCTGAAGAGACTCTCTAGTAGCTCAGGTGGAGGCTGCATCATCCAGCCTTCGAGGCACATATGTACATGAGCCCCCCCACCGGGGAGCCTGGGAGGGCGGCACACATAGGAGCCTGCTGCCTCCCGGCTCTGTCATGCCTGCGTGCACACTCTATGCACAGATTTGCACGGACAGAAACCGCATAGTGCATGCCCAGGCCAGGAAGCAGGACCCTCCCCACATCCCCCACCCTGACCTTGACAATGGCAGCACTTTGTGCCCTTGGAGTGTGTGCGAGTGTCTGCAGGTGTGCCTGGCTGGCCCTCAGCGGGGTGCCTGTAGACAAGACCCCGCACAGACATGGGTGTCCACTAACCAGCCCTTTTGACCCAGAGCAAGGACCCTTGCTTCTTTTAGCCCAGTTTCCTCATCTGTGAAATGGGGGTTATAACAGTGCCTGTGAAGATGGGAGGAGCTCATGTATGGAAAGGCCTCCTACAGGCCTGGCACGAAGTCTTGTCTGGCAAAAAACACAGGAGCTAATCCACGGGGCATGTGGCAGGCTCCCAGCACTGCTAGAAGTATTCCACTGATATCTACTTGTCCAGCCCTCACAGCTGCTCAGTAAGGGAGACATTGTTATTGTCTCCATTTTTAAGAGGAGGAAACCAAAGAACAGAGAGGTCAAATGATTTACCCGAGGCCACACAGCTAGGTTTCAAACCTAGGCAGATGGGCACCTGATCTGCACTCCGGACCACCATTCCAGGGCCTCCCTTACAAGTGTGCACAGACATGTACACACACGCACCACATACTAGCTGACACCCATCCACACTCTCTCTCTGCCCTCCTCCACCCACACCTGCTCCGGTTCCCCTTCCTGCCATCCGGTCCGGCTGACTGAATGAGGATCGGGACATTCTAGACCCACAGCTGCCCCCCACCCTTCCCAGCATGCTGGAGATACTCCGAGGTCCACTTTCCCTACATAGGGCCTCCCAGCCCCCACCCCCCCACCCCGGCACACGGACCACACACCTACTGGGGGGACTCCTGTGTCCCACTAACCAGACATTCTGAATAATAATTAGAATAACAATCATTGTCTCTCCCGGAGTAATTTTCCTGGAGCTCAGCTAGGCACCTTATCCCCTGCCAGGCATTTAATCCTCCCAGCAACTTGCAAGGTAGGATTATCATCTCCATTTTGCTCAAAATTAAAGTTCAAAGATTGAAGTGACTTGTCGGGGACAGGACTTGGATCCACACCCAGGGCTAAACAGCTCCCTCTCGAGCCTCAGCTTTTCCAACAGCAAAGCAGTATCTCACACACACACACACACACACACACACACACAGGCACACATACAGGCACGCACACCACTCACATATTCAGGACACACACACACACTTTCCACCCACAACACCGACCAGACACACAACTCCTGCACCTACACGTGAGGTCCCTAAGCCTTGCCCCGCCACCCCCCCATTTTTGCCAGGCCCCACTCCTTGCTTCATGCCACACCTCTCCATCCCTCCCTCCCACTCACTGGCTGGCTTCCTGAGCTGGAACAAAACCACCTGGGCTCAGCCAGCCACACTGACCTGCAGCCCCAAGTCTTTTGCTGGTTAATGGCAGGTCCCTGCGGCCCGCCCCATGGCCTTGGGAACAGCTGCCTCCACTTAGATTCAGCGCCCGCCCCCCCCCCCCTCCAGGAGGGAACAAAAGAGAAAACTGGGAGGAGAGAAAAAAGGAGGGAGTTCTAAGCAGGAACAGGAGAAGCAAGAAGGTGGTAGGCTTCCTCCCACAAGCCCTATCTCATGCCCCAGCCTTGACCCAGTGATCAGGAGCCCAGGCTATGTCAGACCCTGGCCCTCTCCTGGACTCTCTTCCTGCACTGGTAAAATCTGGAGGAGGTTCCTTCCAACCGAGCTGACACTTGGAGTCTGGTTCTACCTCCTTTGAACCAAACATCTGACAGGCCCAGGCTGAGGGCAAAGGAGACCTGAGCCTCCATGCTTTGCAGCTTTGGGTGGTTCAATGAGCTAAAAAAGAACTCTGGGTAGAGAGTCCCAAATTTGGGTACAAATTCCAATTCTGTGACAGTTCCTGTGCAATTTTGAGCACGGTCATCACTAGCCTTCATGGCATCTTCGCATAAATAAGGAAAAGATCCCTTTTTGAGAAGATCCTCCCTAGGACACCTGGCAAGCTGAACACTGGGTAGACTTTAACCCCATTTCACCCTTCAGCCTGATACCTTTGTGCAGGATACAGCCTGCTCAACCATACTTGGCCGTCCTAAGCTTGGCAGGTTTCCTTTCTGAGCCTCACTGTCTTCATCTGCAAAATGGGAGAGCCCATCAGCTTCACAGGATGCCAGGCAGGGACCTCATGTGTCTCGTTTGCCCTTTTATCCCCAGGACCTAGCACAGGGCAGTACAGAGAAGGCACTGAGTTAATGTCTAGGCATGAAGGAGTGCACGGAAGGATGGCTAAAGGAAAAGCAGGCTATAACTATTAAGTGCTGTGCTAGTGGAAGGAAGTATCATCTTGGGTCTGAAGCCCCCCATACACTTTCACCCAGGTCAGGAGGACCCAGGTTGGTTAGGGACAAGGGGGATGTGGGCTTAGCAGCTTAGGGACAGGGAGGAGAGTTGATGGGGGCTCAGGAGACTAGCTGTAATGCCCGCTATCCCCAACCTTTTCCAATTGGCCATAGTGTTCACCATTTTCACCTCCACCCCTATAACTATGAAAAGAGTAAGGGATATCACCCGTGCCTATGCACAGACTCATGCATTAGCTCCTCTAACCCATACCAGCATGAGGGAGTATACAGCACCCCCTTTTCCAGATAAGCAGACGGAGGCTAGGGAAGTCCAGTGACTTGCCCAAGGTTACACAGGTAGACTAAGTAGCCTAGGATTCAAACACAGCTCTGACTACTCTCCAGATACTGACAGTCCCTCTGGGTGTCATTATTCCCATTCAGCAGATGAGGAAACTGAGGCCTGGGGAAGTTGTAATGCAGCTAAGCCCCACTATAGGGTCACTTTGGGGCTTTGCGCCTCCAGCGTTTCTGGTGCCCTGGCCTCCCTGGGCCTCAGTTTCCCCCTCTAGGAGATGGAGAAAGGGTCCCTTTCCTCCCTGTGAGAGGGGCCGGGTGGATCAGGCTGAGCTCCGCCCCGCCAAGCTTCTTTGTCCTCGCCGCACAATGCGCCCTTGCTTGGCATTCGAGGCCTTTGTGGGCCATGCAGCCTGGCGGCGCCCCCGCCCGCGTTATCAGCGCAGGGAAGCGGAGGTCCGAGCTGGCGGGGCCTCTCTGGGCCGCCGCCCGAGACATGTGTTGGACACTGGCCTTTCAGGCCTGGAGCCACGGCACAAAGGCCCGGGAAGAAGGCGGAACAAAGGGCTTTTTCACGCGGCAACTGAAAAGCCGCAGATTAGCTCCAGCGTGCTGCGCAGGCGGGGAGGGGCCGCCGGCCATCCCCCTCAACCCCCACACCCCGCACTCGCTCAGCCTGTGTGCCCGGGCTGGGGCCTCCACGCCGACCCCCTCTCTCCTGCTCAGAATTCCCCTCGGCCCCCACCCCTACCTCCGACAAGTCCAAGCCCTGAATTCCGCGCCCCGCAGGTGCGGATGCCCGCCTGCTTCTCCGTTCTCCGTTTGCCATTCTCTGAATAATCCCTACCCACCATTCTCTGAATGATTCTTTGCACCTGTTTCCACGCACCTGCCCACCTGTGCCAGCCCGGTCCCCTTCCCAAGCCCAGTTCTAGGGTCAGCTCTTAGGGAAAGGTAAGAATCGAATATACAGTGAGTGCTAGCTCTGTGCCAGGGACTTCGCCCACTTCCAGCCTCACAACTGTGGGGTGCAAATTATTAGCCCCATTACCCAGCTGAGGAAACTGAGGCCAGGAAAGGTGGAGGGAGGCCCGTGGTCACACAGCAGGTGCCGGTGCAGCAGAGAGGCAAACCCAGATCTCTTTCCACCCCTTCTCTTTTGGAAAGGGCTTCTCTGCTCCTCGTGTCCCCCAGGCAGGTGATCCCTCTTTAAGGGACGGGGCGGGGGGGGGGGGGAACGGTGGACTTGGGCCTGGGCTCCACCTGGCACCAGGGCACCTTCAATCAGTCCCGCCCTGCCTCCCTCAGGTACGCCATTGACCGCGACTCGGATCTGGACCAGATCTTTGATATCGATGCGGACACGGGCGCCATCGTGACGGGCAAGGGCCTGGACCGTGAGACGGCCGGCTGGCACAATATCACCGTGCTGGCCATGGAAGCGGGTGAGTGGGGGCGGGGCTATCATTGGGGGAGGGACGAAGGGTGAGTGAGGGGCGGGGCTGAGGCGGGGCAAAAAGAAAGGAACCGGACACAGCTGGCCAGATTGAGAGAGGCAAGAGCTGAGAGGCAGGAGCAAAGACCTGGGAAGGATCCCAAGCCAAAAGGCGAAAGCTGGTCGTGAAGCTGGCTTTCTTCCCTCAGCATTTATTGAGCGCCCACTACATACGACGCCCTGTTTTAGGGACTGGGAATACAGCCCTTGAAGACAGAAAATCTCCTGTCTTTGTGGGGGAGCGCTAGACTGTCCCCAAACAGGTGTACCTATGTCATATGATGTGAAGTGCTAGTGAGAAACCGGCAAAGAAGAAAGTGGGGGAAGGGGATTGAGAAGAAGACGGTGTTGTTCCTTTTAGAAGAAGGCCTCTCTGAGGAGACATTTCAACAGAGACCTTACGAAAGTGAGGGAGTCATGCCCATGTCTGAGGGAAGAGTGTTCTAAGCAGAGAAAACAGCCAGTGCAAAGGCCCTGAGGTGATAGTTTGCCCAGCATATTGGAGGAATAGCAAGGAAGCCAGTGTGGTTGGTGAGCGGCAGAGTGTTCAGCCACTGTAAGTTCTTCGGACTTTACTCTGAATAAGGTGGGGATCATAGGACAGAGCTGAGGAGGGACAGTTGCCTGACAGGGTATCTCTGGCTGCTGCATGAGAATAGATCTTTTGAGGGGTGAGGGAGGAAGTTAAATGGGACAGTGGCAGGAAGATGTGACCTGGCCCAGGGCGACAGCCATGGAGGAGGTGAGACGTGGTCAGCTTTGGGGGACAGGCTGAAAATGACATCCCAGGATTTTATGATGGAATGACTGACGTGGAGATAAGAGAGGTGTCTGGGACTACTTTAAGGTGCTTGGCCTGGCTTTCAGGAAGAGTGTGTGTGTGCACCACAGGTAGTTTGGTGCAGCTGGCACAGGTGAGCTACAAGGAGGGGGGTCTATGCATAGGGTCCAGATAAGTAAGGCCATGGAGGTGAGGAGCTGAGACCGCGGGGTTCACAGAGCCCCAGGAGAGGGGAGGGGACAGCTCCAGGCCTCCTCCAAAACCACAGCAAAGCTGCCTGGACCTGGTCTCCAGGCATCCTCCGCACCCCCTCCTCACACCCCCATCAGCTCTCAAGGTCCAGGAGCCAGCACAGCTGCCAGCAAGCAGTCATGACAACAGAGAAACTCAGAACCTCTGAGCCTGGGGGGCGGGGGGTGGGCGACGTTCAAACTTGCCCCTGTGTGCACTTCGGGATGGGGGGGCCCAAGCCCCTCCTGGCCCTGTGAGCCCCCTGCCAGCCTTCCTCCTCCTCCCCCTGCTGGCGCCCTCCCACTTTGCTGCCCCAACAGCCCATGGGCCAAGGAAGTCCCTAGGCTGAAGTTCCCTCCATCTCTTTCAACTTCAGTTTAAAAGAAAATACAAAGCTGGCTCAAACCTCAGTGCCTGCTGCTCAGGAGCCTTTGAATCCACTCCTCCACCGCATGAAAGGAAGGTAACAAAAGGTGGCTGGAGAGGAAGTGGCGGCTGGACTGGGGGGAGGAGAGCTCCCCCTCCTTATTTCCCTGAACCTGTTCGCAGGGCAGCCGTGAGGGGGACTGGCCTGGCTGCTGGGCAGAGACGCCGCCTCTCCCTGCCCACAGATACAGCTCCCCCACAGCCTGTCACCCTGTCTGACATCCCATTCTTGGGTTAAGCATCATGCTTCTTCTGCCGAGTGGGTCTCCTTGCAGCGAGCAGCTCGAGTGGCATACAAAGTCTGTAATGCTGCCATTTCACGGAAGAAAGAATGTGGAGGGGACTCGCCCACAAACATTTGACAGTGTTTAACTCATCCGTATTCTGGGCTAGAGGCTTTTCAGTGCCTTTATTGAATCATGATCAGTAACCAGCCAGCACCCACTTTACTGATGGGAAGATTGAGGCTCGGAGAGGAAATTTGCCCAAGGATGTGCTGTGGCAGAGCTGGGATTTGGGGCAAGTCTGTCTGGCTCCCTCCGCAGCATGGCCAGGTGAGCTCCCTTTCCGGGGTCCTCTCTGCAATCTGAACCCCGCCCCTCTCCCCCACACAGCAGTGCCTAGCAACTGACCTGGGGAAGATAAGGCTCTGATAGGAGACTGATCACGGGGCTAGAGACCCAGCCCTCTGAGCTGCAATCAACAACCCCGCCCAACCCTCACCAGGTATCAATCAATAAGAAAACGAATGGCTCCTGCTTCTCGGAGCTAGTGGGAAGATTCAATAGAATCATGCATGGGAAGAACTTGCCTAGTACTTAATAAGTGCTCAATTAGTGGTATCTATTGATCTTGACTCTGTGCACTTGACTTCAGCACCAACTCTGCACAAGGCATTTTACAGTAGTGTGCCCGCTCGTTGACTCTTCCCACCTAAGAGATATGGGTTCTGCCCTTATTCCCAACGTACAAAGGAGAAGGGAAATCATTTGTCCAAATTCCCAGCCTCAATCTGTCCGACTCCAAAGCCCGGCTCTCACCCAGATGCCCCTCAAGTCACGTTTCTTTGGTGCCAGGCACGAATCCAGGAATGTCACAAATTACCCACCCACTCCAGCTTCTCAGCATCTCTGTGAGACAAGGGAAAAATTATTATCCCCGCTTTACAGATGAGGAAATAAAGGCTCAGGGAGGAACAGCGATGGTTCCAAGGTCACAGAGCAAATCCATGCAGGACCAGGGCTCCACCGCCAGACCTCCTGCTTCCCAGCAGACTGCCCCAGCCCCAAGTGCAATGCCAGTGGATCTGCCTGCCCACGGCCTTCTGCTGAAGCATCCATTTGGCTTTTTTAGAAACAGAGGATGCTGGTGGGGTCACAGTGGCCCTACCTGCTCTGGGCATAACAAACAGGAGGGGACAAGAATCAGTGGGGAAAATTTATAGACAGTGGCCAAGCTTGGTGAACACCTTGGAGAAGGCTGCACTGAGAGCCGCCGCTGTCATACTGGATTACCTCAAAGACTCCCAGCCACTTAGTATGCCGGCTCCCCTCTCCCCGAACTTCTGAGTCATCCATTCTGCCCATGCAGACGCTCCTTCCACTGACATTATCTTTAACGTTTTGTAATCATGAAATATTAATGACCGATATTGAATTTAAAGTACAATTTGTGTCTGAATCCTTCGGTGGAAAGGGCAGTTGTAAAGGGACAGTCTTCAAAGAGACGAGGGTGCGGACTTGCAAGGCCAGTGCTAGGGTGGAGGTGCCGGGGGCCGCATTTGGCCCCCCTCTTCCAGGGTTGTCTGGCCCTAAACCGGTCTGGAGTGTGGGGTGGTGGCGGTCTCTAGCCACCAGGAATATCCAGGAGTTAAGCAGATTAGCGAGAAGCTTCCCCATCTGGGTCACCCCAGGCCACGTATGTCTTAGAGCACCCCGGTTTTTCCTGCAAACTATGGAGCATGCATCATGATTTATATATGTATTGATGTGAGTATCTAGTTAATCCCTTCTCCCCAGGAAGCTGGACCTTCCACTAGGGCAGGATCTCGTCCGCATCTGTGCTATTCATACCAGGCCTGGCACTTAGTAGGCGTGTGTAAATATTTACTGAATGAATGGGTAAAGGGGCTGGCCCACCCGGTTAGGAAAGCAGGGTGGCGTGACAGGCGAGAACTGGGACCAGCTGCTCCATTCCGAGCTGTGTGAGCTCGGATAGCTTTCATTGCCTTACTTTGCTCATCTGTAAAATGGCACTGTGTCTGATGGCTGTAAACATAATAATTTTATGATATCTTTACAATAAGAGCAGCTTTTGTTTATTTGAAGCTTACGATATGCCCGACATCATACCGAAGGTTGTATATAAAGCATCTCATGTCATGTACATTAGAATCTGTGTTTGTACGGTGACTAGCGTGGTTCCTGACCCACGTTATGTGTGATTCATAGCCGAGGAGAGAAGGAATGTCAGAGAATATGGACTCCAGTCCCCATCCCTCCTCCCCACTTTACAGCTGAAGAGACTGAGCCCAAGGAAGGGTAGCAACTTGCCCAAGTCCAGCAGTGAGGCTTTATGACTCCCAGTCCAGTGCTCCTTAGGAGGACAACAGGGGTGGGGGTGAGAGGCATAGTGCTCAGTTGCCACAAGGACACCCTCTGCCCCCCTCATGTCTGCCCCCAGCTAATGTTTCCGGAGGGTCTCTCTTCACCGCCCATCCCAGGCTGGGTGCTAGGCTTGGCTTGGCTTGGCAAGGCTTGGCCACTGACCTTGGAGCTCACAGGTAGGCAGGGTAGAGACGCGTCGACAGTAACAACACAGAGCAGAAGGGGGCAGTGGGCACTCAGGAGGAGCAGGGAGGGACTTGCCCACCCAGAAGGGAAGGAGGCCAAAAATTTTTCCCAGAGGAGGGGACATCTGAATTGGGTCTCAAAGGCTGAGGAAAGGGGGTTGGGTGCTCGAGGCAGAAAGACCCAGAAGCTCAGCTGTCCACTGGCCATTCTGAGAATGGGAAAGCTGGGGGCTGGGGTGGGGTGGGCAGAGGTTAGGGTGGGGGTGGCTGGAGTAGACGGGGTGAGGTGAGCATGCAGACGCCCACTGGTCCTCTATAAGAAGGACCTTGGGTGTCCCCTGAGGAGTCAGACGTCTCCTGAAGACAGCAGGGAACCAAGGCAGGTCCTTGAGCAGAAGAGTGACATGGTCTGCTCTGCCGTTGCAATGTTCGCTAGGGTCGTGGGTAAACAGGAGGGGGCTGGCCTGGAGCAGGAGGACACATAGGCTGTTGTGAAGCCTCAAGCTTAGACATGAGCTGGGGGTATCAGAGCAGGGCTAGGACGGGCAGGGAAGCTGAGTGTGGTGCCGTCTGGGGAAGAGGCTTGGCACAGCACTACCTGGAAGGGGCTGCTTCAAGAGGCACTGAACTTCCCATCAACAGAAGTGTGTGAATCAGGCGGGGGCCCCTCTTGGACTGGGTAACTCCCGGAATCCAGTGCCTGCTGAGTACCTAACAGAGG